GTTGTGTTGGGTTGAGTTGTGTTGGGTTGAGTTGTGTGGGTTGAGTTGTGTTGGATTGGATTGGGTTGGGTTGAGTTGTGTTGGGTTGAGTTGTGTTGGGTTGAGTTGGGTTGTGTTGGGTTGTGTTGTGTTGAGTTGTGTTGGGTTGTGTTGGGTTGGGTTGTGTGGGTTGAGTTGTGTTGGGTTGGGTTGTGTGGGTTGAGTTGTGTTGTGTTGAGTTGTGTTGGGTTGAGTTGTGTTGGGTTGTGTTGGACGTCAGGTCTTTATTTAAGGGGCTGAAGGAGGAAAGGAGCTTAGTGCCCCCGATAGCTACGTGCTCAGCCATGTCTGTGTCCCCCGGGTAAAGCCCTTCACTAAGATCCACCACAACTCAACCCCCTCTGGGTTATCTGGATCCAGGATGCCGTATCTTCAAAGAGGTCTGCAGTGTGTTGGTGAGGTTCTGAGTGTAAAGGAATTTGTTTTGGAATCCAAATGTCTTTGTTTTGGAGATGGCCCATGGATTGTCAGTACAGGGATACCCTGCTGCTGAGGGCTCTCCCGATACCCTGGGTGCATGGGGAGATGCTGGGTCACTGATGGGATCCCACTCAGCTTCTTCTGGCTGAAACAGCCCTGCCCCTCTTCCATCCCATCCCACGTCCAAGAGAAAACCCCAGGGACGCTGTTGGCTGTCACCCAATGGCTGAACCAAATCCCCAGCCATTCGCTGTCAGGGCGCAGCCATCAGCTCCTCTTTTCCATTTGGATGGATGAACATCCTTCACCGTTACCGTTCCCGCTGCTCTTTTTCCCCTCCATCAGTAGAAATCAGCAGAATTATCTAACCTGGCTGTGTCTCAGGGTGCAGAAGATACCCTGGATCAGCCCGAGTGCTTTCTTTGTAACTCAGCACCTGTGGAATGTCGCAGTAAAGCCGCGGTGGTCGGAGCGTGGCTTTTCTGAACAATAAAACAGGGGAAGCGATGAAAGGCAGCATTTTAAAAAATAAAAATAACGAAGAAAAAAAAAAAGGGGGGGAGGCACGGAGGCCTCGCAGCTCATTTATGTAATATTTCTATTAAAAACAATGTCTATTCAAGACAGCAGTTTAGAGTCTGCACCGCTGGCTTAAAATATAAACCCAATAAAGCTCCGTTACGGTTCCTCCATGAGGTCAGTGCGATGGAATTCTGCGGACTGCTAAAATAAGACATCATTATTTCTCAGGAATGTTTCAGGAATCGCAGTCAGAGCCCCTTCATCTTCGCCTGCACCCGCTTTCAGAAGCGCTGCTCTCGTAAAACCGTTTTCTTCTTGGAACAGCATCCCCCAGAGCTGGAATGCTGTTTGAACAGCAGATGGGGCAAACGCTCCTCTGGGGGGATCTCAGAGGTCTCCATCCCTCTGTGTTCTGTGACTCTGAGCCCCATGGGGGGGGGTAAGCTCAGCTGGGATGTGTCACTGCGCTGTTCTCTGCCACCAGGAGGAAGAATTCATTGACTGGTGGAGCAAATTCTACGCTTCCACAGGGGAGAGGGAGAAGTGTGGCTCCTACCTGGAGAAGGGCTTTGACACCCTGCAGGTAAGTGGCCCGCCTTGGGTCCGCCTCGCTGCACCCCAGCTGTGATGTTCTTCTGCTTGGTTTTGTTTCTGAGTGTCGAGCCTTTCTTTCTTCCAAGGTGAAAAAAAAACCCCCAAAACCCAAACATTTGATGATTTTCCCCAGGTGATTTTGTTGTTAAAAACAACCATTTATTCTGTTTTGAAAAGCTGGCTTTCTTTGCAAGGTGTGTTCCGGTAGCACTTCCACTTTCGCAGCCTTTGAGATCTTGCTGATTCACTACGTGGTGGAGGAGAGGGGGGAATGCTGCCCTTAGGGGAGAACAAGGAGAAGTGGAGATTGCTGAGGGGTGGATTTAGGTGACCCACTGCAAGGAGTGCCAACAATAACACAAAATCCAAGTAGGACCAAAGCAGGGTAAACCTTGCCTGGTCCTACGGGAAACGCTCCCAGCAAGGAGCAGCCTGGATGATGGAAGACCCTTTGGGCCACCTTGGCACAGCCTGGAGCTCCTGCGCTGCACTTTTTGTTTTTGTAGGGTTGCCAAAGTTCTGATCTTCAGCTGGGGATGGCGGGGATGTCTCTGTCCCTTTGGGTGGTGTTGCCTTCAGGCTTGGGTCAACTCTTGTCCTGGATCTGTTGGGGTGCAGCTGCCCTTTGCTTCTCCTTCCTCAGGTCTATGAGACAGAGCTGGAACGCATGGAGGCCTTCGAGCAGCTCTCTGACTTCTGCCACACCTTCAGGCTGTACCGTGGCCGGGTGCAGGATGCCAACGACGATCCCTCAGTCGTGGGCGAGTTCAAGGTGGGCAGAGAGGAGCCTGGTTGGGGTTCTGTAGGGCAAGTGTAGGGTCCTGCACCTGTTGGATACGAACAACCGCAGCAACTGTGCAGGTTGGGGGCTGAACTGCTGGAGAGGAGGTCTGTGGAGGAGGACCTGGCAGTCCTGGGGGCCAGTTGTTGACCAGTGGTCAACCATAGGATGAACCACCAGAGTGCCCTAATGGCCGAGAAGGTGACGCAGATGTTGTCCTGGTTGGCCACTGGTTGACCAACAGTTGGCCAACAGTTGATCACAGGGTGACCGTGAGCCAGCGGGGTGTCCTGGTGGCCAAGAACGTGACACAGCCTAATGGTTGACCAGTGGTTGACCATCGGTTGACCAATACTTGACCATAAGCCAGCAGGGTGCCCCGGTGGCCAAAAAGGAGACACAAATAGTCACCTGGTTGACCAGTGGTTGACCAGTAGTTGATGATGAGCCAGCATGGTGCCAAGAAGGTCAGTGGGACCCCGGGTGCATTGCAGAGCGCGGCCATCAAGGCAGGGAGGTGCTGTCCCAGCCATCTCTGTGAGCTGTGAGCCCCATCCTCATTGTGACCGAGCACATCTGTCCTCCTCAGGGTTCCTTCAAAATCTACCCTCTGCCCGACGACCCCCGCGTGCCGCTGCCACCTCGACAGTTCCACCAACTGCCAGCCAGGGGGCCCCAGGAATGTCTGGTCAGGGTCTACATCATCCGTGCCTTTGGTCTGCAGCCCAAGGATGCCAACGGGAAGGTAAGCTGCTGGGGGGCTGCTGGGGGGCTGCTGGGAAGCCCCGGCTCTGAGTGCATCACCATGAGAGGTGACAAAGTTTGGAGATCGGGTGACAGCGTAAGGAATGGTCCCCTTCGTTCTTCCTTTAGCTGCAACATCTGGGAATCCCAGCAGCTGACTCTCCCCCCCCCATCTTAAGGACTGGTTAAAATTGCCTGAGAAGATTTGTTTTATTTTATTTTATTTTATTTCATTTTTCCTCGGCGCCAAAGGAAGGAAAAACGATGGCTTTCACGTCACTGCTTTCTTGGCTGAGCTTTGCCAGTCCAGTGCAAAAAGAAAATTGCGTTGGTTCAAAAAGAAAATGCTCTTTGTTTCAGTTTGAAACAAACAAACAAAAAATACCCTCAGAACTCAGAGAAAAATCCTTCTTAACCCTCTTTGCTCCACTGGAAAATAGGGATAAAGTCTTAGCTTTCACATTTGGGTC